ATTTAAATAGGAGTGTCTTTTCTTGGTGTGTGATATAAAATATTTACTGGAGTGGATGAAGGCTATTCATCCGTGTTTACCCTCCTGCTTACCAGACCGGCTACATTTACAAACAGCTCAGCCTGGCACAGCCCTTCGCTGCCGCCTGCAAGGACCCTGGTTAGACGTGGGGCTTGCGTGCTCCGAGCCCTGGGTGTGCTGCAAAAGTCATCACGGGGACTTGGGAGGGGACAACGCATCCCCCCGGCTCTGCTTTGCTGCAAAAGGAATGGTTTTGGTGTGGCGGCTCAGCACACGCTGGTCCAGGAGCCGTGCGCCAGGGTATCCGCGGTCGCATCGCCCTCTGCACGGCCGGCTCCTGCCTGCAAAATCCGGGCTGTGCCCGCGGCTCCCGGCCCCGCAGCGTCCTCCCGAGCGAGCGAGGCGCTTCCCCGGCCATTAGCATTCATGGCAATTCTTTTCATTTGTTACCTGGCAGGGAAATGAAAACACGTTGTTCCCCCCAGCGGGGTGTTCCCCATGGCGAGCCCCAACTTTTCAATCATTTCTTGGCACCACCGTGGCAGAGAGCGGCCCCCCCACCCCCCAGGCAGGAGACATTGCTATTAAAAGGCTCGCCCAGGGGCATGTATTTTACATAAGACGCCGTGTACATGCTGTGCAACATTCAGGAGGATCATGCTGGAGCAATTGGTCCGGATATAATGCCGGTTACCTTGCGAGATAGGAGCGCGCAGAGGGGAGCGGATGCTCGCTCTGTGCCGCAGGGAACCGACCCCCCCCAGCAGCCCCTTGGGGCTCGGAGAGGGCAGAACCGCAGCCGACGGTGGGATGGGGACAAAGGAGCAGGAGGGTCCCAACTGCTGTCCCCTGGGATGGTGTCGCCGCCGTCCCCTGCCCGCGACGCTGGGGCGGGGGAATTAAGAGCTCCAGAACCGAACTCAATGTCTAGTGGCCTGAAAAGTTTCATTTCCTGCTAGCGAGGGCCCTGCGGAACGGCATGTAAAGGAGGCTGCGCTATCTGTACACAATTACACACCCGGCTGGCTTATTTCATGGAAATCAATGGCCGCAGAGGGACAGCCCCGTCGGGGGGCTCTGCAGTGCCGCGCGCCGCCGGCCCCCCCCCCACCCCCCCCGATGCGTGCCGTGTCCTCGCCGCGCATCGCCCCCCACGCCGGGCACAGCCCCGCATGCAGAGCAGCCGGGGATCAGGGACAGGAGCAAGCAGTCGGTATTTCCTCTGCCTTGCATCCCGGCAAACTCGCCGCTTCTAAACCCGTGCTATTTTCATAAATCATCCCCCCCCCCAACCCCCCCCGAGCTGGTGTTTTCCTGGGTGCCCGGCAGCCGGCAGCTTGTTACACGGACGTCTCTGCTTGTATCGCTTGTACCTATCAAGAGATAAGGCTGGGGAGAGGAGCGGAGGGAGGGGAGGCAGGGAATAAAGTGCAGATGTGACAGGCAGGTTACAGAAAACAAGGAGCAGGGAAGTGGCAGGGCTCAGGAGGTGCCGGGGAGCGCAGGGCACTGAGGGTCACCACGGTCCCCTGCTCGGGATGGGACCAGGGGATGCTGTGGTGAGCCCCCTGGTCCTGCTGCAGCCAGGAGCTCGTGGCCTGGAGGGGAGGCATGGCACGTTTTGGTGGGGGATTAAAGCACTATGGAGGTTGGGGAATCGTGCAGTGCCTACAGGTATTTTTAGCTGGGGTGTTCCCGGCACGGGGCTCGCAGGAGCTGGAGGCTTCTGCCTCGAGCAGCCCCGGGGGAGCGCTCGGTCCTGGTCAGCTGCTGGCTGTGAGCGCTCCCCTCTAGGCACGGGGTTGGCCCCTCGGTGGTGTAAATCAGGAAAACCCCACAGCAGGGCACAGCAGGGCCAGGCACTGCCCCAGCAGAGGCTCCAGCCTCCAGCTGCATTTTGTCTGCAGGCTTCTAGAGCTGGAGCAAGGCGAAAAGGGAATGGAGAGGATCCAGAAGTGGCCAAATCCTGACCCCCACCGAGGTGTCAGCCTGGCTGCTAACACAGGGCACAGGGGCAAAGGGGGCACCCTCAGCTCTCACGCTGCCCATGGCCAAAACCCATCCGCACCTCGTACCTTTATGGGATTAAAAGAAAAAAAAAAATCATAAATCATTAATGCTGGAATGTGGAAATTTGGCTGCTCGCCTCAGATGAGCCCAGCACGTGCCGGCCCCGTGGTGCTGCCACGGGGTCCTGAGCCGGAGTCGCTGAGGATTGAAGGAACCTGGGGAAAGGAGCTGGGGACCGGCTTCGTCCCCAAGCGCTTCCCTCGTCCCTCCCCGGCACCTGGAGGAGAGCACGGCCCCGGCCCCCTGTGGGCACACTGAGCCCTGTGGTCCTGATTAATTGGCACAGCCACATCCCGGAGTAAATCATCCCTCGCTGCGGCATGGAGGAGGCGAGGCCGCGCGTCTGTCAGCCTGGAAACCCGACCAGGAAGCCTCAGGGCTGCAAACCTCGGGGGCTGGAGGAGCCTGGAGGGGTCTGAGCAGCACCAGGGGCAGCGAGGAGCTCGCTGCTCCCTGCTGGAAGGCAGCCCCGAACTGGTCCCAAAGCCACACTTTGAGCCGGGGATTTTGCTCACACAAGCCTGGGGCACGCTGCTCCAGGGCTGGGGACAGGGGTGCCACCACCCCACGTGCCACCACCAGCCGGTCCCTGCCCGCAGCTTCAATTACGAGAGCGGCAACGAAGTAAAATTGGTGCTAGAGGAGCCTCAGGCCCGTAAAAAACCCATTTCAGACACCACCAGCCATACGTGACGCTCAGGGGAGCCCTTGCAGCTGGGTGCGGGGGCTGCCACCCCCCTGGCCAGCAGCGCTCCTGCACAACAAAGCCACGTCCTCGCCACCAGCCCATGTCCCGCGCTCCAGCCTGCTCCAACAGGGCTCAGCCCAGTGCTGCCACCGACAGCCTGTGCTCCATTGTACCCCCCCCAGGCTCCAAACACTGCCCGGGCTCCAGCAAACCCAGGCTGCGCCCAGGAACGAGGCTATTTTGGGGTCCTGGGGGTGAAACCAAGTGGGATCAGCCCTGGGGGTGCAGGGACCCGCAGCGGGTTGGGAGACCCAGCTGGGGCGCAGAGCAGCCCCCCAATAAATCCCACGGTGAGCGGGCACACGGGGGCCGTGTCCGTTCCCATCCCGCGAGGAGAGGAGATTTAGGACGTGTTTCATTCCTGCAGGTCAGCGTGCGGAGGAATTCTTTGTTTCCCCAACAGCGCCAGACACTTCAAATAAGGAAAGAGAGACACGAAAACAGGGTCTGGTTCTTAACAGCCCATCTGCTTCAGCTGGTTATTCCCCACCTGGCGCGGAGCAGCCTCCAGCTTTTAAGGACGCAGCAGCTTCCCCACGCGGCTCCGACGCCTCGTGAGAGGCAGCGATGCTCGGGAAGGGGACACGAGGCTGGGACCTGGGAGAGCAGAGAAAAGGAGCTCCCAGGTCCTGCGGATGGGCAAAGCCACCACGTCCCCACCAGCCAGGTCACCCACCTTGTGTGTCCCCGCTCCCTTTTGCCCAAGAGCCCCCAGAGCCTTGGGGGACCCAACAGGGATGGTACCGGGGGTCTCCGCCTGCCCGCAGAGTGCTCACTGCCCCAAATCCAGGACGTGGGGTGCCCCTGGGGGTATCAGAGCCAGCCCCCAGCTCCAGCCCCAGGCTCTCAGCCCCCCACCAGCCCCATGGGGTCATGACCCAGCCATGGCCCTAGGTTAAAAATAACCCAAACCCAAACTGGGCTGGTGGCCAGTGCTCACTGGGCTGCCTGGAGCAGGGTGCTGGGGGCTCTCCATCACCATGGGTCCTTAAATCAAAGCTCGATGCCTGCTGCCAAAGAGACAGGCGGGCTGATCAAAATGAGCCCTTTCAGGCCTTAAAAATCCATGACTCCATTAATTAATTACTAACGATGATCCGTCTCAGCCTTGCGCCTGCCAGCTTGCTATTTTTAACTCCGTATTTCCAACCCCACGTGTTAAAAAAATCATGAGTCAGGCCTCGAAAAAAAAAAAAAAAAAAAAAAACTTACAGGCGTCGGGCTGAAAATCTCCCCTTTTCCCCGTGTCCCTGCGGGGCTCTTTCTCCGGCACTTTGCGGTTTCCCAGCCTGGCACTGGGTTTGCCAGGGCGAGGAGAGGAGCAGCACGGGCATCGCATCCCCGTCCGTCCGTGCTGGTGTCACTCCCCGCGCCTGGCACACAGATGGCCCTTATTAAAAAGCAAAATGAGTCTTTCACCCTCTTGTGGCAAACTTCAGAGCCTCGGATCAGCTGCACGAGCCTGAATTAATTAACAGCGGATTGTTCCTATTCTGCTAATTATGCTGAAATATGCATTAAACGCTGGAAATTAACATGGGCCGCACAAAAAAAAAGTTATTTAGGGCTGCGACAAACAAGCGCGGGCGGGCGCCCGGTGCGAGCGCTGCTCTACCCGGGGAGGTGGATAGCGGTGGGGGCTGCCGTGGGGTTAGGAAAATGCCCCCTGAGGATGTGTGTGACGCCCCTGCCCAGGTTTGGTGGCCCCTGGGGACATGGCCAGGCACTGTCCCAATGCAGCACGAGGGGAAACTGAGGCAGCGGCGGGCGAGCGCCTGGGGAGACGCCGGAGCGCCACGTCCCAGCCCGCAGCGCCCACCCACCGGGCTGCATTGCCTCCCATAATTAAGTACTATCAACAATCGCATATTAATTAATTTAATATCCATTATTATTCATTAACAGAGTAATTAAATCCTTCCCGTAATTAACGCACCACCCAGCAGAGCGGTCTGGCGGCACGGCCCCCTCGCACCGGTGGGGAGGGCAGCGCTGGGAGTGGGGAAGGAGCCGAGCGCGGCCACCCTGCTGCGCCCCAGTGCCGCCCAGTGCCTCCCAGTGCCTCCCAGTGCCCCCCAGTGCTGCTGGCGGCCGGACCGGTGGCACGTTTTGGATCGGAGCCCGGCGGTGGCGGCGGGAGGGAAAGGCACTTCTCGAAAGCAAGGGCCTCACATGACATTTATTTTTATTTTATTATAAAAAAATACAGAATCCAAATTAGGTGGTGATCCGGTTACCATCAGCACGACGTCGAGGACGAAAGCGGCGTGGCTAAGGACGAAGCTAGGCGGGACGGAGACCAACACGCAAAACCAGCGCCGACAGCGGGCTGCCCCCAAGGGAAAAAACCGACCCAAGCGACCCCCCCCCAGCCCTCACCCACCCCTCGCCTCTGCTCAGAGCTCCCTGCAAGTGTTGCTGCCTCACTTTGCTTTTAACTCTCTCACAGTCGCTGTACACAATATAGATATTTATAGATATAATCTATATATATATAAAACACAGACCGAAGGCCAGGTTTTGCCGTCGCCACTCCCCTGCGAGCCCGGCGGTGCTGGAGCGGTGCCCGGGCACAGCCCCCGGTCCCCCCCTCGCCCCCCGGGGTACCGGTGCCAGGAGAACCACGATGCTTCCGCTCGCCTTCGAGAACCACGACCTGGTCAAGACACGGGGGACGGGGACGGGGACAGGACAGGGGGGGGGCGGTGGCGGGGAATGCGTTTTTTTTTTTTTTTAATCATCGTTTTGTCATTTTCTTTTCATTTTTTTTCTCTTTTTTTTTTTTTTTGGATGGTTGAGATGAGCTTATTGCGAGATTTCAGCGTCCTAGTCTAAAAAATAAAAATAATCAAATAAAAATAAAATAAACCCTTCCATAAAATTCATTCTCAACAATACATAAAAAAACGCTCACAGTATAGCGCCTGCCGGCTGTATTTACAGAGCGGAGCGGCCCCCGGGCCCCCGCGGAGAAAAGAGACGGGGCTGGAAAAGGTCCATGGAAAGGGCTCGGCGCGGGCAGAGCCGGCGTCCCGGGGCCACCACCCCCGGTGTGAGCCCCCCGAGGGGGGGGGACAGTCCTGGATTTAAGGCGAGGAGGGGCCGGGCCCCTCTCTGGTTCATCTCCCACCCCCTGCGCTTTGGGGCCGATGGTTTTTTTTCCGTGGTTTTCTTTTGGATGTGAATAAAGAAGAGGAGAACAAGCCAAAGCCCGGCGCAGCCGCGGCCCCGGTGCCAGCCCCGCACGGAGCGGGGGGGGACAATCATGGGGGAGGGGTCCCCTGTCCTCCGCCCCCCACGGCCGATGCAGGGGATGAGCCTGCACGGCCACGAGCACCTGGGAGGCGGCGAGGAGGACGGGGTGCAGACCCAAAAAGCTGCTCCATCCTGGCGCTGGGGGGGGAATCCAGCCCCCGGGGGGGCACAGGCGGTGCTTGGGCTGACACGGAGGGGATGCAGCACCTGGGGGGGGGGCAGCGGTCGGCCTTGCTCCAGCCCCAGATCCATCCGAGCACTCGAGGGGGCTCCCGGTGCCACCCGGGACCCCCAGGGCTCCCCGTGGGTGCTGCCACTTCGCTGCTGGCGGAGACGCCCCGTGGGGACGGAGGTGACATCCACAGTGCGAGCCATGGGGAGGGGTCACCCCAGGGGGCTCGCAGCTCCGGGACCCCCTCAGCGGCCTCGTGTCCATCGGGGTCCCCCGTCCCCGTGCGCTGCGACGTCCTGCTGCAGGAGGGGTGGCCCGGCTGGGAAGGAGTCCGTGCCCTGCAGAGCCATCGGCACCGTGGTGGCGTCCGTCTCGCCGTGCCGGGTGAAGGCAGCGTGCCACGGCCACCGCGGCCCCCCTGGAGAGAGGGGCTCAGCGCCCGGGGCCCCCCCGTGCGGTTCAGTCTGACACGGGGAAGCCTGGACTGAAACAGAGCCAACCGAAATAAAATAAAAAAAAAATCGGAAAAAAAAAAAATCAAAAATCAGGACTCTATATTTGGTCTAGAAATGTAAAAAGCAACATCCTACGGGGGAGCCGGAGCCGAGCGAGCTGCAGGGAAGGGAGCCCTCGAGGCACGCACATGGGCAGGATCCGTCCCGGTTCCACCGCCGCCGGTGCGGGACCGCTCCCCTGGGGCGCTGCACCTGCTGCGGGGGGCTCCGGGGGGCTCCTGGCCGGCAGCACAGCCCCGCTCCGTCCCGCACCTCGCCCCGCGGCGCTAGGAGGCCAGCAGCGTCCAGAAGACCGGCACCACCACGAGCGCGGCGTGCGGCACCCTGAGGCTGCAGCACGAGTTGTTGCTGGTGAAGATGGGCTCCGGGGACTCGTAGAGGGAATCGTCTGCGGGAGGGAGGAGAAGGGAGGTGTGAGATGGCTGAGCCCCCCCTCCGGTGCACGGCGGGCGATGCTCGGCACCCCCGCTGGTGCCTGGCACCCCAGGGCCCCCGTTCCCTGCCCAACCTCCCCGGCTGCTCGGATGCCAGCAGGGCTGGATCCGTCCCAGCTGCGTGACACCAGCCCGGCGATCCGGCACCGTGCCGGGTGGCAGAGCGGCGCGTGGCCAGAAAAGAAGTTAAATTATGGCTAAGGCTGTTAGCGCGTTCCCCGGGCTCTGCGCTCTCGTGTTTATCACCGGATTAAGGATTTTTTTTTACAGAGCCAGAAAAAAAGCAGCGCCTGCCCCTGCCCCTTCCTCCTGTCCCCATCCTGCAGGGTCCTCGCGTGGGGTCACCCAGGACCCCTCTCATCCAGGGCCCGGTGCTTGCAGATGCAAAAGGTCCCAGGGTCTGGAGTGGATCCCCTGGGGGCCCGGTGTCCCCCCCCCGAGCAGTGCCTGTGCCACGGCCGCACAAAGGCAGCCCTTCGCCTCTGCAAGGCACCCACATAATAAAATCCCGATATTATTAAAATACTGAAAAAAAATTATATCAGGAGAGATTTTTTCCCCCATTATGCCCTAGTCCTGAACAAAACAGAATGATTTTTTACAGATGGTTTCATTATATTGGGTTTTATTTTAAAGCCATGCAAATAAAAAAAAAAGAAAGACATCCTTTTAAATGGTGACATTTCGCAGGCACTCAGCCCTTCCCCAGGGAGAGCTGCTGCCATTTGCTAATTACACGTTAACAGGAGAAGAAAATTATTAATTTGTTTTTTTAAATGGCTGAGTTATTTGATTCTGAAAAGTAGCCACTGTGCAGAGATTATTATTTTTTTTTTCCCCCTTTCTGAAACCCAGCGGCAGGCAGCAGCCGCCCAGGCGAGGCGCTCGCCCTGCGCCAGCCGTGGCTCCGGGCACGGACCCCGCAGAGGAGCTTTTTTGGGCAGGATGGGGGCACCCCCGAGCCCCAGGACACCAGCAGGGTTTGTCCCCAAGGTGCTCGCAGCCTCCTGCACCTCAGTGATTCAAAAGTGCCACCCTGGGGACACCGGGGGTCACCCAGGACCTGGCGTGCCGTGGGGACAGGATGCAGCCATAGGGGTCTGCGTTTCCCCAAAGCCCCTGCCCCAAACCTCCCCTCCCTCTAAGCCACTTTTACGCAGCCAAATCCCACAGAAACCAGAGGTCCCCCCTCACCCGCACCTGAAAGCAGCAGCCCCCAGGGACCAGCAGCCCACCCCGCAGGGCAGCTGCCCCCCATGGCCCCCTCCCCATGGCCCCGTGGCGCTCACTTACTCGTTGGCCGAACGTAAACCTTCAGCTTGAGGCAGGGCCTGTCCACCATGTTCGGGGGGGACGCGGCTGCGGGGAAGCACAGAGGGGAGACAGAAGTGGTCCCGTTAGCGAGGCAGCAGCTCGGACCCCACAGCCCCCCGTGGGGACAAGGAGGGACCCCCTCGGAGCAGGGACCCCCTTGGAGCAGGGACCCCCTCGGGGCAGGGACCCTTTATAGCGGGAGGGCTGGGGCTGGCCCTGCCCTGCTCCAGAGCAGCCCAGTGAAGGGCATTTACTGGTCCCAGTGCAGCTGGCAGCGACCAGCAGCAAATATTCGGGATGCCTCCAGGAGCTCCGTGGGTTCTCATGTGGGATTAATGCCTTGCAGAACACGAGGGCAGGGATGGGAAGAGCAGAGGAAGGGGCTCGGGCTCGGTGTCACCGTCACCACCGGGGAAGCCCCAGGTTTCACGGTGGCACCCCGGGGTGCTGGCGGTGATGCTCTGCCCCCCACCCGCAGCCCCAAACCCCTGGGATGGGGACGGGGAAGGGAACGGGGTCGGGGCTCCAGGTCTGCAATGCCCAGCCCCATGGCATGGCCGGGGTGATTCCAGCTGATGTGTGCCACAGGAGCCCCCTGCCCAAAGCCCGCTCCCCGCTGGTGGCTCTCTGGTGGCTTCTGTCCTGCCCCCCCCCCCGTGCCACCAAGGAGGGTGAGAGCGAGGGCAGGTCTGCGTGGCTCTCCCTCGCAGGCAAAACGAGGCTAAAGGCAGAGCAAAACTAATACTCGATGGGAGAGACAAAGGGAGTAATTGCAATAATTATCTCGGTGCAAGTCCCCTCGCAATATTAGAAAATGTGATTTTTATATATGTGTTTTTATAGGAATTTAATTTTCTTTTTTCCTTTTTTTTTGAATTAAAGAAGGGAAGAGCGCGGTACTCGCAATAAAGTTTAATTTGAGCTGGAAGAAGGGGGAATTGGGATGTGGCTCATGCCAGAGCTGGCAGCAAGGAGCCACCCTGCTTGGCACGCGCGGCTCTGGGCACGCCGGCTCTGGGGACCCCAAAATGAGCAGTGACACCAGGACCATGTCCCCACTGATGGAGCGGGGTCTGGGCAGTGGTGCCGGTGCACCCGTTACTTCTTCTCCTCTCCTTTTCCTCCCTCGTGCAGCGCCCTGGAGGGACCACGACTGCCGAAATTCGGGAAGGTCACAGCGCCTGGCACCGTGCACGGAGCCCGCGGTGCCCGTCCCCGTCCCCAGGGCCAGCGCACGACCTTGGCCCCGCGCAGGAGCACGGCCCCGGCCCCGTGCCCGCGAGGTTAATGGCATTCCGATCCGCGGGCGCGAGGAGGAGGTAATTTCTTTTCTTTCATGTCTGCTAAATACGGTTCCTCAAAGAGGCATAATTTCTAATGTTCCGCATGACATGAATCCTAACCGGTTTAGCAATGATCAGCTTCACCATTTACTTCTGTGTAATCTCTCCCTAACGACATTAAAAATTAAAAAAAAAATAAAAAATAAAATAAAACGGGGCTGGGGCGGGAGGGGGGGGTGGGGGGAAGAGAGAGTTGTAGCTGCCGTTATTTCGCGAGTGACATTTTACAGGGGGAGAGAGCGAGGGGGGAAAATGGTAATTTAATATAGATAAAAGGAACAAATTAAGTGGGCTGAAAACAGATGCTTTAGGAAAAAGGGGGAGAAATAATAAGGGAGATAAGCAGGCCGGGCAGCTCCTGAGCGAGGAGAGAGGCGTCCCTGCCTCCCCGTGACACCGGCGGGTGCTGGGGGGTCACGGTTTCTAATTTATTTTTACTTTTTTACCCTTTATTGATCACAAGGCTTCCAGCACCCAATCCGAGCCCATTAGCTTATTTTCCTGAGGCTGGAGCAGCTCTTCCTCCTCCTCATCCTCCTCCTCCTCCTCCTCTACTGCCACCCCTGAGCCCGGCCACTCCGGGAATTAAAAGGGGGGGCCCAATCCTGCCACGTGCCCAGATTGGGGGCATTTACAGCATTTTGGGCAGCCAGCGCGGCCGCTGCTCCCCTTCGCTCAGGACACCTTGGGGCAGATTTTGGGGCGCAGCATTCAGCCCCCCCCACCCCACCCCACCCCAACCCCGGCAGCCCCCCACTCACAGATGTAATAGTACTCGTGGCCGGGCCGGAACTCGAAACCCAGCGAGAAGGGGGTGAAAAGCTGGAACTTTTCGGAAAATTTGAGGGGCCCGTTGGGGGAGTCGGGGCGGTTGCACTCCCAGCGCTTGAAGCCCTTCTGCCGGTGGTCGCAGGACGCGTGCCCCTCGTAGTTGACCATGTAGAGGACGTAGCGCTCCATGCGCTCGGCGGGCAGCGGCTCCTCGTAGTGCGGGCAGTAAATGTCCAGGTAGTCGTTGATGCTCACCTCCACCGTGTAGTCCCCGCGGTGGAACCTGCGGCACATTCGGTGTTAGCATCCTGCATCCCCCCCCCAAAAAAGCTCCGCGGGCCCCGCACCCCCTCCCCAACCTCATTCACCCCAGTCCCCCCCTCCCCAGCATTGACCTCAGGAGATTAAACCCGGCGCCTCGGTGTTGTGGGATTAATAAACGGGTGATACTCAGTACCGAGGAGCAAAAAAAAAAAAAATCATAAAAAAAAATCCTTATTCACCGCGATAAGCATCAGCCCTTTTGGGATTAGTGCCGATGCGCGCCGCAATCCCGTTGTAATTTGCGTTTTTGGCACTGATTATCGGAGAGATTAAGGGATTAGCGGATCCGAAGAGGGCCCTGCATGCGGCGGCTCCCACCCCACAGCAGCACCCGGCCCCTGCCCCCGGCCCCCCCCCAGCCCAACCCTGCACCCCACCAGGAGCCAACCTGGTGCTTCTCCTTTATTCCCCCCCCCCCTTGTGATGAGTTTTCTCTGCTAATTAACTTGAGGCTCCTGCAGCACCGCTCCCCCCAACACCACATGTCCCATATGTGTCCCACGTTGTGCCCCCCCCCTGCACCAATGCTGCCCACGGCCACCCCCCGGTGCTCCCCAAAACCACCTGGGCTGAGGCTGGCTCAAACTCATCACACAGATGCCCCAAACACACTGACGACGCTGCGCACCCCCGCGCACCCCCCAAATCACCACCGGTGCCCAAAAAGGCACCCCAAAAGGGATGGGGGGGGGCCAGGATGGGGACTCTGGTCCTTGAGCCCTGCCGAAGGAGCCGGGCGGTGGCGCGGAGCCGCCATCCAGCTCATTACCTGCCTCATAAGCACTCTGATCACACAGGGACAGGCGCTAATTAAGGAGAAGGGCTTTGCTCGCTCTCCTTCCCTCTCCTTTTCCGAGTCGGTTGTGCCAACCCTGCCCCTGGCAAGGTAACATTTGAAAATGTAAAATTAATACAAAGGGCCGCGATTTACTGGGAAACAATTTCAAACACACACAAAACAATAAAAAAAAAAATAAAAAGCTCTTCTCTCTTCCTTTTATTTAAAAAAAAAATTATTTATTTTAATGATTGTTATTAAAAGCCAAGCTAAGGCGATTGTAACAGAAGGGCCCACGCTTATCAGGGGAATAATAATAATAATTATATTTTGGGGAAAAAAAATCAGCCAACTCCAAGGGCTTTTGCCGGACTGACAAATTGCTGAATTAAAGCTGATTAGCTGTGATAAATGGCGCGGACGGGGCTGGGCGCTCCCGGGGCCAGGGGAGGGCTCTGCCTTTGCGGGGGGAGCAGAGGAGCCCAGCCTGGGCACGGTGCCCCCCCCAGTCTCCATCCCACCACCCTGGGGGCTTCTTGGGTTGGGGACAAGGACGGGACACTGCGGGTGTGTGGGAGGGAGGGGGTAGCAGGAGCGAAATCCCAGCCCCCCAGCCTGATGGCACCGGGATGGTGACCCCCCCCCAGCCATAAGTCTGCTCAGCCTGGCGCTTTTAGGGCCAGAGGAACGAAGTGACACGTAAAGCTACGGAAATGTTTTATGGAGAGGGCGATGGGATGTGGGGAGAAGGTGATGGGATGCGGGGACAGAGGATGGGATGTGGGACAGGACGATGGGACAATGGCACAAGGCAATGGCACAAGGGGACACGGGGATGGCACACGGGGCACGTGCCGGTGTGGGGACAGGACAGGCAGGGCACGTCCCCATCCATCCCCATGCACCCCAGGTTCGGGGTGACTTAATCTCGGACCCCTCCCAGCTTTTCATTGCCAGCAAAGCTTTATTGGTGCCCCCGATCCCCCCCCAAGCTGCTTCCCCACCCCGTAAATCCCGGGCGCGCTCCCGGGCTGGGGTCTGCTGTCGGGAGCTCCCGCGGAGCCAGACACGGAGCGGCGCGCACGCACGGAGCCGTCTGTTAATTTGTTATCGTTTAAGGCATTCGGTCCGCGAAATGTCAACAGCATTTTAAAAACCCGCCACCTGGAAAGCGCGCTGTCGCCCCGTGTAATACCCGCAGCAGGGCTGCCAGGCCGCGCTAATTAAAATGAGTGGGATTTGAACTGTCTAAATGAGGCACATCGCTAATTCGTCTGCTTCGAAATTTATATATATATAAAAAAAAAAAAGCAGATCTTGGTCAGGCCGGGCTGAGCCGGGCAGTTTTGGCACGTTCCCTGGGGGTTGCGTGCGCCTGGCCCGGCACCCGCCAGTGGTGCTGAGCTGCCATGGGCCAGCTGTAAGGTAAAACATTAGAAAAAAATAAAATAAAAATAAAGTTAAAATGGTAAAATGCTGCAGCCTGGTGGAAAGGGACGCGATGGCTCCCCGGGGAGTTTTGGGGCACGGGCATCCCGCCTGCAGTGGGGCTGCTGAGGTCACGCTGAATGAAAACCTCCCCGGTGAGCACATCCTGCTGTAATTCCTGGGAATTTTGGACACGGCATTGGCCCAGCCCCTCCGCACAACCCAGGGACCCCGTGTCCCTGCTGTGGCCAGAGCTGGGGGAAGCAGCACCACGTCCCCGTGCTCAGCACCCACCCGCACCAGGGGCTGCTTTGTGGGATCTGCGCGCATCCAGCACAGGCCCCGTGCCACGTGGAGGATTTCACCATTTACCGGTGCCCGCCTTGGTGCTGGGACCGGGTGGGGGCTGGTTTGGGGCCGTGGGGGCCCGGAGCTCGCCCAGCGCCCAAGGGTTAACGCGGGAGCCTGGCTTCTCCCTGACAGAGATGAATGGAGCGGCCTCGGCGCTCACCCCGGTGGGATGCTGCGCTTGACAATCGGCTCCGCGCGGCTTTCAGCTCTGTCAGCTACCATTAGGGCTGGGATCCCGGCTAATTGGGTGCTTCATTAGGGGCATTCGTTACCGTTAGCGCTGCCTGACAGCCCGGCAGCTCTGCGGGGCAGGGGACGGGGCTGCCCCGATCCCACAGCCCCCAGCTCCAGGGACCCTTCCCCAGGGGATCCGCACATGGGGACGCGGCTGCGGGGGGCACCGGGGGAGTCCTCGGGGTGCCCCAGCGCCTGCCCGGTGCCACCGCCCTGCCCTCGCTCCCCATCCACGTCCCTGGCCGTTAATTGAGAACTTTCCCGGCCCTCACTGCCTCTCCTTTTGCATGACAAGAGCGGAAATCCATTGGAGTGAAATTGCCTGGAATAAAACATCAGGAACCAAGCGGCCCCCGCTGCCCCCCGCCGGGTCCCCGCTCGGTGCTGGCCAAGGACAGGGCAGCGCTGGGGGCCGTGGGGGCTCCTTCCCCAGATTTTCCCTCTCAGACATTCACTGGGGAGGAAGAAAAGCCTTCCAAGAGCCCACCCGATGACAAAGCTGCTTTCGGGAGACGTCACGCCAACCCTCGCTCTCTACTTTTCTTTTTTTAAGGCTTTTTCTGCAACCCGATGGAACCAGGGGGCGGCTGCGCCCCAGCTGAATCCCACACCCAGGCCCAACAACCCCATGGCTAACGGGGCCAAGTCCAGGCAGGGCTCTTCCAGGAGGCGCCCCTGGCTCCCCCCAGCCCCAAGGTGCCACCCTGGGGTGAAGCCAGGGCTGGGCAGGGACCCGCGGGTCCCCTCCACGCACAGGGTGGCACCGGTGTGGCTGTGCCAAGGATTTCACTCCGGCAGGACCGGCCCCGTCCTGCCACGGCTCTCGGCACCCCACCTGCGAGCCATTTCTGCCAGCAGGGAGGTTGAATCCTTCCTGTCCCTATTTGCCGAGGCAGCACACGCTCTCTCCGGCTTGCTCTCGTTTTTATGTGTTTTTTTTTTTTTTTTATCTCATCTAAATTCACATCCCGGTGACCCTCGGAGGACGGCGGCCGCGCCCCTCGCATGCCTGCCCCGCAAAACCCTCCAGAAGCGCCCAACACAAAGCTTGGCCACGATTCAGCCGTGCCCAGCGGGCAGTGGTGCTGGGCACCGCAGCACCCAGACCCCATCCCGAGCCCCCCCCCTGCAGCCCCTGCCTCAGTTTCCCCTCCAGGCAGCAGCAGCCCCCCCTAAAAGCCCCCAAGGAGCGCAGCAGCCTTGTGCACCGACAAAGGGCATTTGTCTCGTGGTCTGGTTACACCCTGCATGCCCAGCCAGTGTCCCAAGGGTTAAATAATTCAGATTTTTCTTTCCCGAACAGCTTGAAAAGAGATATGATTGCGCTCACTGAAATACGTTGGGGGGGGGGGGGGGGGAGATATTATGGATGGAAAAGAGCTATTTAAGCTGAAGAACAGTGTTGGCACATAAACAAATGGGTATAAACTGGCCATGAATAAATTGAGGCTGGAAATTAGAAGGTTTGCAACCATCAGAGGAGCAAGGGGCTGGAACGGGCTCCGGCAGCCGGGTGGGAGGCGACGTGGGGCTCGAGAGTGGGGCTGGGGGGGGGGGGGGGGCTGGTGCCGGGGGTCCCCAGCTCCTGGGGGTCCCACGGCCCCGGGGCAGCCGGGCACAGAAAATTCTCGTTTCCACCTTCATCTGCTGAAATTCTCCGTCATTCAAATAGTCACAGCGTGATCAGGAGTAATAAGCCTCTTACAGAGCAAAATAAAGCTGAGCAGCCCTCCACCCCCCCCCGGCCCCCCCGAAAACAGCCCCAGCCCTGCCCGGCGCGCTCTCGCCGTCTTTTTTTTTTTTTTAGCACAACCTGATGAAAATGCAAAGTGGCCACCAGCAGCCACCTCCGCCGCCGCCGGCCCCTCTCCCCCCACCAGGGAACGAGCAAAACGCAGCAAAATGCAGTAAAACGGAGCAAAAAGGCAGCCCCCCGTCCCACGGGGCCGGCGGGGAATTACTCCCGCGGGAGGAGGCGCGGGCGCGTGACTCCTCTCCGCAGCGCTCCGGCTCTTTTCCATTAATCCTGGTGCTCTGCTGGTTGCTGGCACGTCCGTGGCCGGCAATGGACTTCACGCCGGGAGCGTTTAAGCGAGTTTTCCCGTCTGTTTCTTTTTTTCTCCTTGGGCAGCCCGCATTACCACGCCGCGGAGAGGAGCTGCGTCCTG